TCTTGCTGCTCTGGATTACGTTATAGCTCTTCAAAGTGACGTCTTTGTTTACACATACGATGGGAACATGGCAAAGGCTGTACAGGGCCATAGAAGGTTTGATGGGTTTCGAAAGACGATAAATCCTGACAGGTTTGTCAATACTGCTGGCTATTTTGTACTTCACGTTCAGCGCCTTTTTGTTTTTTTTTGGGCGTTACTAAATCTTCTCAGCATTCTGCTTCTTTTCAGATTCAATTTAGTTAGGCTAATGGATATGTTGGATGTGGGCACGTTATCATGGGAACAGTTTGCCTCGGAAGTCAAGAGTTTACATGAGAACAGGCTTGGAGCACCATATATTAGACAGGCGGGAGAATCACCAAGATTAGAGGAGAACTTATATTCTAATCCGTTTCCTGGATGTATTTGTAATGTATCTCGAGAACAAGAAAGAAGCCAACATCATCACCGAAAATTTATTACTAGTTCAAGAATAGCATCACAGAGATAGGGCTCATAGTTGTTTTTGAGTGTAAATAATAATTTCAATCGTAGAGCATAAGATATAAAACAGAGAGTGGTGGGCTGTGCAAGAAGTAGCAGCAATGCGATTCGGGCCCTTCATGATTCAATTTTGGAGGATACGGTAGAGGGAGAAATTCCTTTTTTTTTTTTTGGATCCCATTATGAGAGGCACTGTAAAATACGGAGTACAGATATTCTTTCATTTATTGATTTTGTCCTTGTTTTGGCCTTGTCAACTCAATTTTTTAGTTACACGTTTACTGTCATAAATACGTTCCTGGTCACAATAAAGAAAATCTGCTACAGAAAACTCATCATCCTCCGACTCCAAGAAATATAACCCGAGAATCCATAAGAAACGGATTATAACTAATGCAAGTCCATCAGTTTTGGACCAAAACTTGGGGTTCTGCAGTCAATACCAGAAAATTGCAATATACAACAATAACAGAGGGAGGAATGAACGGAAAAGCAAATTATACACCCACATACCCTAAGAACTGCAACAACGGGGAGATTTGATGATGAAGCGTAAAGAATTATTGCAGGCAAAGAAGATGGTCGTTGTTAAATGTCTAATAGTATAAGGAAAATCCTAACACCAGTCTTATCACTTCTGGACCAGAAGCTTGGTTTAGCAGTCGATACCAGAAGTTGCAATAGGAACAAATTCTGCTTTAGGATCACATCAATGGACCAACAAGTGAGATCCATGTATTTGTATAAACTTCGCCCACAATGTCATTTGATACTTGAGTCAATTACCAAAAGAAAGAACCACGGCATCATTTCAATGGTCCTTTAAAAATCTAGGTGTTGGACAAAGTGGTCCGATAGAAACAACAAATCTAACTAGTGGACTCTCACAGACCGAATTCTTGGTGTTTCTAACTCCAGATTACAGCAAGATCTAATAGAAAGAAACTAGAGTATTTTGCTCGTTGACATGACTACTGCCGATTTTACCACATTGATGGCACATAAACCTGCTCTTTCAGATTCTGAGTAGCACTTTCTGTGGGAAAACCGCGTACAGCTCCTATAGTCCACTGTGATATTATACCAGCAGCAATAGCAAAACGAAGCTGCCTCTCCAAAATATCCTGATTTTCAAACATCTCGGATACAGTTGTTAGCTTTCTCATAATTGCAGCCACAACAGCATCACCAGAACCTGTTCTATCACAAGTGAATGGTGTTATTAGCACATCTTCTGTGCCAACCACAACCCCATCAAAAGAAGGAGCATAGTAATGTATCCGAAGTGTTCCGTCTGTGACAAACAAAAGCTTCAACCCATCATGCCATAATGGAGAGATTTCTTCGCGAGTATAATGATAATAATCTCGCAGTTTACTTGTTTGTTCAAAATTCTCAGCATAGTACTGAGGCGTATAATTTCTTCTCCTCTCATAATGTTCTTCATCTAAAAGAAACTCGAGCTCTTGCTTTGAGACCTCAATGATATCTGCTTGTTCCCAGGCTTTCTTGAGCACTTCCCTGGTCATATCACGTGACTCCCATAGTGGCAATGGGAAATTTGGGTCAAAAAAAACCAATGCACCGAACTTTTTAGACCATGAAATTGCTCTAAAAAGAGCAGAATGCATGGAAGGACAAGTTAAGACTTCAGAATTAAAATGGAACATTCTAGCCTGAAAAAAAAACAAGAAGAAAAACTAGCATCAATATTAGTCACTAAACTTTTTTTTCTCTTAAAACTTTGTTCTAGTTCATTAATTGTTTCAATCAAATTCACCTCATAATTCATAAACACTTTCTAACCATAATAAACAAATTCAGTATTAAAAGTGTATTCCCAGTGCCCAAAGTTTGACTACTTCAAGACAAATCGTCTGGGATCAAGAATACAGCAGTCAGAAGAGAGAAGAACCTTCTCTAAATCAGTGGTAACGATAAGAGCACGGACAGAAATAGTTCAAAATCAACACACTAATGGATCTTATCCCTGCGTGCAGATTTCACTAGCCACTCCAAGTTGACCTCTCTATCACATAATCTGTTAGCAGAATTCGTAAGAGTATGGACATAATTAGATTTATCCCAGAATTGCCCATTCTAAAACTTGATCTGCACGAGGATATAATGGTTACTTCAAATTAGAAAAACTATCCGGGTAGGGCAGAGATTGTCCTCTGTTTCATAGAATCTCCAATCTAATAGCCAAATGTACATAAGTACATCCATTTTCCTCTGTGCAGACAACAGACCTTTGTTTAAAGGCAACAATGCAATAAGATAACTAACATTCTTAATCCAGCAAAGCCAAGATAAAGTAAAAATAAGGCAACGGGGGTTGAAGCATCCTGTACTGGGACAGCGCCTAATCAACTAATGAAGAACATAATTGATTAAGTAACTAGTAAACCATAAATCGACAATTAATAAAGTAAAAAATTCCTTCATTGCTATGTTGTATATAGGAGAAAAACATCCTAACATCCTCTTTTTTTTTTTGGTTGTTTAAATTATTCTTTTACCTCTTTGAGCACGGCAAGATTCAGTTCGGAGCTTAGTAACGAATCCTCTGCAGATTCTTTCACCTTTTCCATCCTCATTTTGCCATCATTATCGTGCTTAATTTTCATATAGGCACAGGCAGTCCTCACATTGCTGTCGAATTTCACTGCCCTCGTCTGCACCTTCTCAGTATTCATAAGCAACACCATCTCTCTTCCAAATTCATCATCCCCAACCTTCCCCATAAAAGCAGCCCTCCCACCAAGCCTGGCGTGAGAAACAGCCACATTGGAAGGCGGTCCGCCAGGAGACCTAACAAACTCTGGAGGGTTCCACTGCAGCATTTTCCATTGAGAATAGATATCCGGGTGCATTTGCTCCGGTGCCACTCTTATGGTGGGCACAAACTCCTTCTGGGCTGCCCCAAAACAGCAGATTAGAGGCGGGTACTCGTACGGGAAATCAATACCATCATCATAGTAATCAAGCTCCTCCTGTTTATCGGTTACAGGTACATCATTTTGGGTGTTCTGTGGTTGGCTTTTCCGAGGTCCTCTGGGTCTTTTTGTCGTCGAGGTTGCGGAAGACGAAGTGGTGGTGGTGGACCGAGCTTTTTTGCGGCCTCGGCGGGAAGGCTTTGGCGGTTCTGCGGTGGTTGGATCGTCATCTGAAGATGATTTGGGTGGCAAGAGTTTGTGAAAAGTTCTAGCTTCAGGAATGGGGACCAGCCAAATGGTAGAAATTTGGAAATGGGCTAGTGAGTTTGAGGCAAATGAATGAGAGTTTGGGAGAAAAGATGGTGTACGAAATGGAAGGGTTGCCATGGTTCGGACTTGCAGTTTAGGGTTTATCCATTTGCGATTCTACAAATTTTCCTAACTATCTTACCCAACAAAAAAAAAAAAAAAAAGGGGAAAAAGGGCTAACTATTTTAAAGGGGTTTGTTGTTTCAATTCTGGCGCTACTTCTGCTTGGTCATCATCCACCGAACCGGTTCAGAATGAACTATTTAACGGGCCAAGTTGACCATCCTGGTGGTGTTCTCATATCATATGAAAAGACTAATTTACCTTTACATTTCGTTTCATGGAGTAATATATATATATTTTTGGTTATCTTTTTTGGTCTTTACTGCAATACAAAAAATCGCATAATATAGCAAATCAAGCTGGAGTTGATCTTAGAAATAGCAATGAATCATATACCAAATCAAATTTTTTTTTTTGTCAAATGATATACCAGTTCAATTCGGCATAGCTATTTTTTGCATTTTTACAGAGTGAAAGAATCGACAAATGTTAGGTCAAGATTGGAAAAAGCACGCCTCAATTTAAAGAAAAATTTGCCTAATTTGTTTACATTGAAATTTTAATGGTACTTTATCCATTTCTATGAACGTTGAGGTGTGATTTTTGTGAACACCTATAATCCAATTATCATTCTTGTAATTAAAATAACAACCCTAAAAGAGGCGCAAACCTTAAAAAGTACGTACGGATGCGTTGTGCATCCGTTTGATCCGGTGATGATTCAATCTCCTTTAGTTATCCTTGGACCTGTTCAGGTCCCCTCCCTCTAATATAGAATAGTATAGTATAGGTCTAATATAGAATAGTGTAGCGTAGGTCTGTCATATCCAAAAAAAAAAATTAAAAAATTAAAAGGAGCCGTAGACTGAACCGTACTCCGGGCCTCTTTAGGGTAAGGTTAAACTGACGGACACAGGTTAACTTGCAAGATAAAGAATTTTAAGTATACAGCAGGTTATCTTTCTTGGCTCTGTGCCATTACCAGTTTATGGCAAATAGCAGCTCGTGTCATTTTGCAGCTTTCTTCTAATCGAGCAAAATTCCTGTCCCAGCCCTTTTCTCAACGAAGAAACTTGTACGTATATTAGAATCCTTTTATTCTCGACGACATGTATTGTAGTAGTTTAGTAACTAATAATAATACCGCCATACAAAACATAATAGTAGCATGGACATGGCATGGAACCGATCCGATGGCATTAGATTTTGTGAATGTAGTTACCATTTCCATTGCTGCTTTTCATACAACTGATGATCAAGAAAAAGGCAAATGCAGCTAATACAACAGCTTCACATAATTTTGAATTTTGATGATATCCTCATTATAACATAAAAAATAAAGACTACTACTAGCGGTACTTTAACACACTGAAAGTACTACACAGAGCCAGATTACTTTTCAGTTATGCTACCACCACGGAAACTAGTACTAGTAGATGAATTTGCCTGCTTCCTTTTTTGACCCCCCGATCAAGTTCTTTCTTTATTTTAGTTTATTCCCTTCTGAATCAGGAGGGATTATCAGAGAGCTTGTCTGAAACTGAAGACAGAAAAATCAACAACATGCAGGAATCACTCGACGGGAACCATGACTTCATTAGTCCTCAAAGGGGGCAAGGTCCAAGGCGGATTGTACCTGGCCAATTCATGTTCCCCAGTGACCTTGTATCCATCCCTCTCCAAACACCTGTTCAAATTCTCCACCTTCTTCTTTACGACGTCCTCCCTTGCCGCCCCGCTGAACCTCACCACCCCAAACTTCCTCTCTCCTTCTTCCTTAATCACCACCCTCTCATCCACCGGCTTCGGAGCTTCTTCCGCCTTTGCATACTTGGCCGGCAATATAAATTGCATCGTCACCGACTTACTCTGCCCCTCTCCCCCGTTCTTGGTCACAACCGGTGCGGTCATGGCTATCTTTTCTGAAGCTTTTGTGATCACCGGAGCCGTCATCGCGATCTTCTCTGGCTTGGTGTTCTGGGGATTGCCCACCGCGCCTATATAGTTAGCAAGGAGAATGAATCCACCATCTTCGTCGCCCTTGAATTGGGTGGGGTCGTAGGTCACCTCTGCAATTACAGACGGGAAGTATTTGCGGATTTCGTAGTCTGCTGTGGATTGAATTACCTCGTATTTGGGTGTTTCCACGGTAATCTTTCCCAGAATCAGACCCATCTCCACGAATTATGAATTGTTTGGCAGTGAAAATGAAGAGTTTCGTATTATTGAGTATTGGAGCCTCCAACCAGACACATTTTATAGGGGTAATAGAAGAAAGGGGATAGGAATTGGACGTGGACAGAGTCACAGAGGGAGGGATCCTTCTCGGAATTTTATTTTTATCTTAAAAAAAATTGTTACATTACGTGAATAATTACCTAGAGGCAAAAAGATAAAGTTCAATATACTCACAAGACACCACTAACTTGCTTGACCGAAAAAGGAAATGCTGCTAGTATTTCTTAGTAATAACTTGTGGTTGAAATTGAGGAGACATGCATGAAGTTGTTTTTGCCACGATTTGGAACTCAGGCCCATAAATTGCATTATTGGCCATAGTTCGTCAATGCAATTATGAAAATTTGCCGTGTGTCTTAATTTTTGTACCACTCTCGTATAGGAGCTTCGAAAAGATAAAAAGAGAAGGGACAATGAAAAAATAAACACAAAAGAAAGTCAAATGATTTTAACACTCTTAACATGATTTTATATATTGGTTGATCCTTGACGGGTTTCGTTTCTTTCGTACATTTATCATTTGCAGACCTTTTTCATTTTTTTTATTTTTAAAAATTTTGGGTTTTAGTCTGTCCACATGCAATATAGCCAATTTGCAAATTGCAGCATAACCGATAATCGGACCAATTCACGACGCATTACTTAGATCGGTTAAAAATCAGTAAATTTTGATTTTCTTTTTATATAGTGAAAAGTACATTTTTAGCACCGATATGAATTCTAGTACATTAAACATGAATATGGGTTTTTTTTTTGGTATAACCAATAGGTATTCGCATCCGTTTTACGATTTACAATTAATTCTGTTCGAGTTGGATTGGATCTCTTACTGGAGAAATTCTCCCAACATTATCTTTTTCATTCCCATATTTCGAACCCGATATCTCATGATTAAGAGACACAAGTCCCTTCGGTTTGCACCAACATCCCTTAGTAAACATCAACATGGTGAGGTGCTCCAACGTCTTTCTAGTATTTTGTAACAGTTAAAGAAAAATATATAGGCGCAATACAAGCAGGAGAAGGTTGCGAAGCGAAAACGAACATAACAATGCAATTTCAACCAAAGAGAGTAAATTAGGTCCTACGTGCCCAAAAGAAATTAAGACCCTGCAATTTGTTAAACTATAGTTGATTGAAAGAAACAAGTCCAAGACAACTGGATTAAGGCCTCCATTTAGAATTGTCCTTGCCCCTCTTTTTCTCTCTCGTCGAAGGGCAATTTCTCCAATTAAAAACCATAGCGGACCCTAATTGAACCTTGAATGCATACGGAAGGAAGACTTCAGCTGTCAGTTTTCAGAACGAAGCACCAAGATCATTAGCATTAAAGATTCTGAAACTATCGAAGATTAGCAATCAGGGATGGGTAACCACTGGATCATCTAACGTCTACGAGGCCTTAACCCATTTTATAGATCATATACAGAAGTAGCTCTCAAATTTCATCAACTAAATGTGAAGCTGTATTTTGATGATTGATCATGAAATTACAGCCATGCAATAATATTACAGATACCAGCACAAAAATTTAGCAGGATTTACAAACAAACTGATAAGAACTCGACTGATTTCACCTAGTCAAGCACCTAGTTGACTCTTACCATCTCTGATGGGTTTCGCGTACTCAAACCCCACAGGTCGCACTACATAATCCTCTGGCACCACAGGACGCTTATAGCCCAGTAGAGTCCATAAAAACAACACAAGCAATGCCCCCAAAGCTCCACATCCAGTGCCAAACATCAGCGCTGCAAGGATTCTCAAGGCACAATCACTTTTCTCATGGACCTTCGGCTCTTTTCTCCTCTCCACAAATGCGGCAGGATCCAACGGCTCCGAGTGCATCCAATTTGGAATACTCCTGAGCTTCAAGCTCCATGAATACAAATTACATTTATGTGACGAATTCCCACTTGCTGAGCTTAAGCTAAAAAGCACTTCAGCTTTGTCCCACATTCTTGACAAGTCAACGGTGTAGAAAAGTAATGGGTTTAGAGGTTTTATTTCACCTAATTTAGCCAACCTCACTTCTAATCTCTTTGAATTTGCCTCGTAATCAATCCAACTCTGCAGTTTCTCCCCACTGCTCAAACTCGAATTAACAGATGAAAAATTGCTAATTTTCACAGAAATAAGACTAGCTAAGCCAACCCCAACATTATTTCCATTGACATCACCGTACCTGTTATTCCTTGAAGTTTCAAATTCAACAGCAAGGAACTTTACTTTGCTCCCGGCAGCCAAAACTCCAGATGAGCCACCGTTAAACACATGTACTGGATTACCCATAGGAGACATCGCAAAAGCTAAACCATCCCCATTTTCACTTGACAAGGAAAAGACAAAGTTCATAACAAAAGACACCATCTTTCTTGAATTACGTTCAAAAAGCTTAATGGGTTCTTTATACAAGACTGTCCCAGCACTAGGAGCAACTGAACCAGATAACTGTACTGACTTATCATGGCCGCTAACAAACTTAGCATCACCATAAAAAGCAAACAGAGACTCAAAGTTTGGACCTTTATCAACTTTTTCGGAAGCAAAGGAGACGTTGAAGTCGGCATATACAATTTCGAAATACAGGAGGAGGAGAGCGATAGCTATCAAATACCTGGAAGCTGAAACGGAGGTCATTTCTCTTGACCTGAGATTGGAGGCTGCACTTTGTCCGTTGTTGTGGATTTACTGGGGAATATTCGGTGAACCCATGAATTAAAAATATGGAGATGAAGGTAAAACCAGTTGAAAGTTTGGGGAATTGAGAAGGGATGGAAGCAGGAGTGCTGGGTCGCACATGGACGTGGACTTGAAGGTTGGGAAAATTAAATACGTTTAACCACCTGGGTTCTGCACTGCAGCCTGTGTTGGGTTCACTTTCTGTGGTAGTTGCTGACAAGGGAATATAATAGTGTGGGATCTTTTTAGGAATATGTCCTCGTCTTTTTCTCAATTTGCAAAGGTAGTCCCTGATCTGCACCTTTTGCTTTCAACTTTGGGGGTCAAATGGAAAGAATCTTTTACGCTCGCTTCTAAACCTTTTACTGGAGCCTGGAGGGCAGGTAGCAGAGAATGTAATAATTAATATTTGGGAAAGCTATATACTTTACGTTTTGAGGGGATCTATTTTACGAGTCAAAAACTGAGCAGGACTGGTGGAGTGGTAAGAAGACCACTGCAATCCAGAGGCGAATATAGGTTCTCTGCAATCACTACTCTGATTGCAGAGTGCAGTTAGTGTTAGTGCTGGAGATGTGTTATAGTCGAATTTGATGGAAGCAATTGATTGTGAAGTACAATCTGTAATGAGTAATAAAACTTCTTGTAATTTTACGCGTTGCTGCATCCCCGTTTGGATTGCATTTTCTATCATTTTTCATGAAAAAATTACTATAGCGATTTGATATATGTGAGAGAAAAAGATAATAAAAAAATGTAATCACGAAAAACGACGCAATTTTCTCACAGAAAATGACAATCCAAACACAACAATTTTTTTTTAACAAACGCATCGGCATCACTGCCTTAGTTCTATATTTGTTATTTTAGTATCTATATATAATATTGTGTTAATGTATACATTATTGTTCTCTACAGTGAAGACTGCCAAATCTTGAGGTTTTTCTTACCAACTAAGAAGATTTTCCAACTGCAAAAAGTGGGTAGGGTATAACAAATTATCCACTATCCAAAACTAAAGTAAAATGACGATTGCAATATGCAATAGATTTGAGAAAACAAAATCATGATCGGTTGGGTATCCGTGTTGAAATGCTGGAATGAGGAAAATAAAAGAGAAAAGCAATCCTGTGTTGGGGACAGAAAAGGAAGAATTAGATTCTGTGGAGTGGAGGCCAACATCTAAAAAGACTCTTTTCGAGTTGCAAAGCGAGGCGCAGATAAATGCAACCCAAAGACCAAGCCCTGTTGTTTAATTGACAAAGCACCCTTGCTGTGTAGTGCACTGAGCCAACACTTTTTTTTTTCTGGGCGTGGAAATGAAAGAAAAACAATTGTGCGCGTGCACTTTACAAGCTTACCTTTAGTTTATTAGGTATGCTTTTCATTATTATTTGTTAAGACTGAACGAGATAAATCAATCTACTGAACGATAATTGAATTAAATTTGATCAAGTAAAAACTCATCTAAGTTTAGTTCTCAACTGAAACTTTTAAATTTGACCCGAGCAACTTACGTATACAAAATTCAACTTACACTCGATGAAAGTTCGTTTGAGCTCGATTGGATAATTAAACAAGCTAAAATTTAACACAATTTGAACTCTTAAAAATTACAAGAGCGGAACTTTTCGTGCATTGCAGATTTGCAATGCATGCAAAGGACAGATACACAAAGCACGCGTCTTTATGCACACAGACACATTTTTGACAGCCATTGCAGAGAGTGGACCAATGCCTCGGAAGAAGACGACTCGCTGACACTCATACTACAACGTACTTTAACGAACCTTCCACGAGTAGCGGTTGTCTTCTTCTACTACTACTAATTTTTTATTTAGAGGGAGGGGCTAAGGGAGAGATAAGTAGTGATAACGCACAGTTATATATATATATAAAAAAAAAATGTTTTTTTTCGGCCCGAAACAACTATTAGACAGACATATAATAGAGCTTCATGTATGCATATAAAGTAATGTTTGGATTGTTTATTTTCGTCAGAAAATATTGTCATTTTCGTGATCACATTTCTCTATCACATTTTTCCCTCACATATATCAAATCGCTACAGTAATTTTTCCATAAAAAATGACGGAAAATGCAATCCAAACATAACCTAAGAATCCTACTTAGTGCAACTAGTATATGTTCACTTGAAACTCTTTTATTGGTCAAGGAACAATTACTAAATATGTCTAGTTATAGTAATTGTTCCGAATCAACGATGTGTACATAGAGAATTTTGATTCTTTTATTGTTTAGGAAAAAATTATTAGATATATCTAGTAATTGCTCTGAGGTCAGAGTAAAATCAATATGTAAAATTGATATATACGGAGAGAATTTTGATAACCCAATCATCAACGTAGTTGGTACAACTTCAAATGACAGATGAGGCGTGGCAAAGATTCTCGTGAAACAACAATCGATATGTACTTTGCTGATTCCATGGATCGAATGTGCTCTAGCGGAGCTAGCTAGTACACTTCACCCCCCCCCCCCCCCAAAACAAAAAAAAAAAAATTCCAATTTGTCGAGAAAAAGCCATCAATCAATTCCTTCTTGTCTGCTTGCAAAATCTTCTTTCCCCCGTGCCTTAGGGGTGAAATACTTACCTAATGGATACAAAATTTTTACACATCAAACATGCATGGAGGGCGGGTGGACAAACAGAGACAGAAATGGACGAAAGAAACTGAAATTGGCACGAAGAGATCAAAGTTATGGAATTGAAAGGGAGTTGTTTTTCTTTTTTTTGGGCCAGAGGGGAAAGGGGAGAGGGGGGGGGGGGGCGCCATGGCGAAGTTGATTGCTAGCTTTGTAGTGGTGCTTGTTGATTTGTGAATTGCCATGGTACGATCACTGTTATAATGCTGTCACGCTAAAACCCCACCAGTACCATCCCCGCCCGATGGAAGCAGTCGTAGTAGTTAAGACACGAAGGAGGACATCAAACGAAACTGCCTTTTTTTTTTGGGGGTCCCCCAGGCTAGACAAGAGTGTAGATAGAACAAGGATTAAAGGCATATCTGTGAGTGGGCATGGGTTGGTAGTGATAGATCAAGCATCAATCTACAGCTAACAAGCATGCATGTGACCCTTTTTTCCCCAAGCTTCTTAATTGCATCCTCTTCAAAAGGGAAAGATGTAGCACGACTGCAAGGAGTTGCCTTTCTTCCAGAGATGATGTCGAAAAAGATCTCCTCTCGATTACCTAAAATTCCATTGCGTTTAAATGTTTGCAATTGCACTATGACAAATCACATGATCCACAGAAGCAATGTCTCCGTCAACTGCCTAGTAGAGGAGGCATTTCCATCCACCAAATTCTTTTTTCGCCAAGATAGTAGTTAACGAACAAGGTCCTAGTAATTTATTGCCATATTGCCACGCTCTCCATTCCTTTATGTAGATGAGAACGCCAGGAACACACTTGTCCAACTCTCTCTTTTACAACTCTATTTGCACCTTTCTTTGAGAGAAAAGTTGGCCAGAGCCAGATCGACAATGTCTAATCATCATAACATAGCCTCATGCTTCAGGTCTAAAATACCAAATAGTACAGTCAACACAGCGAAGCGACCTCCAGCTTTTACTACAGCGTGCAAATAGAGTTCCACTTTCCACGAACTGGAGCAAATTAATTCACCAACCTAATGATGCAGGTAAAGGTGTACTAGCCGAGGTTTAGAGCCTTGGTCTAGTGGCTGCAAAGGAGAAGCCTTGTCGTGGTCATTGAATGCAAGTGTTGGGTTAAGGCATGAAGAAAACATGAGATGGAATCACCAATTGCGCACATCAGTCAATGATCATCCCGATGACTTATCCATTAGACCTCAAAGTTTTTCATATACTTCTCTAAGCCATTGTAGAACAGCAGCTTGATATGTTTCATCATCCACAACCTCAAGATAACCGAATAACGAAATAGCATAAAGGAAATCATTGAAGGGAACAATATCATATAGAACTTAGAATAGGAAAATGGAAAAGATCAAGCCCTCTTTCATCATCCACACAACCTCAGAAAGTCGAAGTTTCGTTCAATTTGCTTAATGCGTAACAAAGAAAGAACAGAAGAAGTTAAGTAAAAGAAGAATTGCTTAGAATATTTTTCAGATGGATCTTGATTCAGAAACTCATTACTTAATGCAAATAGATGAAGTACAGGCGGGAATACTCAAGTCAAAAAGACATTGTGTAAATTGACTTTGTCACAGCAATTTGGCTTACAGTGAACATATGTGCTATCTGCTATTCTATTTCATAAGCATTACATTGAGCTAGGCACAATGTGCCCATGCATCTGTATAGTATGGGAGGCGGGAGTGGTATGCTACTACCCAATGGACAACAATTATTGTTTGTTGTTAGCAAACATACAACCTTAAAATTTGATGCCCAGCTTCAGAAATCAATTTTTCTCAGCTACAATCTCTTTGACGTCCAAGTCAGCTAAAGTTTCTTTGCCAAACAAGGTAAAGCTAACAGTCGCCTGTATATCCAAAACTAAGTTCCATGAAGTAGAATGAGGTAAAAAAAAAAAGATACAAAAAAACCCAACCTCCCAGAATGTATATTGTTCAAATCAATGTCCTTGTTCGAGGCATACTTCATAAAATAAGGTACTCAAGACTTGAGAGGCAGAAATTTACATACCAATGCTTTCTTCTTATTGAACTTCTTAAGGATGCCTGAAAATCCTGCAAACGCCCCAGAAACAACTTGAACTTTTGAGCCTGGCACAAGAAGTTTAACACTGTTTCCACCTAATTGAAAACCTAAAGGAGGCTTCGTAGTTTTTCTTGATCGACCTTGAGCCTCCACAGAGGTATTAGATTCTACGTCATCTAGTGAGGCTGGAAGGGCATCCAAATTTAGCTTCTCAAAATCTGATGTTCTGTGACCTTCATGTTCCTCCAAGAAAGCTTGATCTGCTTTATCCTGTTCCTCCTTAGCTTGCTTGTATATTGCTTCAATGTCTTCAGCATCTACTGGCCTTGGTTTGTTAATCTGTCGCTTTCTGCATACAAATAGATCATACCACTGACTCAAAATGGAGTAGAGAGCAGAAATAAATGGGATGTGCTCTTGAATTAAGTAAGAGAAAACTGATGGCTAGCAGTACACCATTGTGGTGGAGAAAACTAAGGCATCATATCACTTGGCTCATCTCAGGGCTGAGAATGCAGAGCAAACAGACTACACTTCAAGCAGATTTGGCTGACACTACCATATTTACCCTCTGGAGATCCATCTTGATGGAACAAACTGAGAGTCACAGATCAAATCTGGACATAAGGAAATGTTGTAGAAAAAGATAGCTTATTTACAGGATCTATGAGGATGCTGACACAGTTTTCCAGCCAAACTATGATCGGCTACAGTATCACTTTGCAATTAAGTTAGCCAGATTGTTTCCCATTTGGAGAGACAAAAATATAATCTACTTGAACGAGACTCAGAAGTCTTACACTATTCTAAACATGAAGAAAAAGAAATCTTTGAAGTTATCTAAGAGTGACATGGATTTTGCGAACAAAACAGCAGGATAGGAATGGTAGCAAAAGCTTACGTATTTCCGACCTTGGATCCAACAAAGCCTCCAACACCATCGCATTCTCTTATGAAGTCATGTACATCCTTGTTTAGTACACACCTCAAGAACACACACCCAGGGAAGAGGGCTTTTGGTTTGACTGAGATTGATCCGTTCTTCAATTTCTTCTTTTTTTGAACAGATGGAACATAAACCTGTGAATAGTCATCAAGAAGTTAGAAGAATAAATGCTTTGAACTACTTCATAAACAATGTCAAAGAAGCTTCTAATTGCGCTGCATTACATTATTTCCTGAACATTAATAAAGTTAAACTACAATCAAGAAAAGTTGCCAACAAATGAATGAAATGAATAGCAAAAACTCTGCATTGCATGTTAATCCCTGGGGCGCTTTCTCAAACCTCATCATGCAAGCAAGGTAGATGTACAGAAAAAAAAAAGGACTTTCTTCAGTGAAGCCAATTCAATTGACAAAAGAAAAACTTCACAGGGTTAAGGAATGAAAGTGAAGTGAAGTTTGGTGTGCTCTGACAAGGAGGAGGAGGAAAGCAGATTCAATACACCTTAAAATATGCGCCATGAATCTAAAAACAATGCCAAAAGGCAGTTCTCTATTTTCCGCTTCTTCATTTGACACAAAACATCTCTCTCCACTTCCTTGACAAGGTGAAGTAACTGACTGAATTGAATGTGTCAACGGGATATTCTAATCATGTTTCTTTATCAAAAGAAATGTTCCCAGACTCTCATTCAAGCTTCATATTTATGCCTATTTCCTAACCAAAGCTTTGTTTGGAATATGCCTATCTTAATGCTAAAAAGGGTCTGATGATTTGCTTCTCGTTTCCAAAGAATTCTAGATAAATCTACCAAACAAATCTCTAGCGTTAAACAAAAAATTAAAGAACCTTGAAGTCCAGGGCGGGAAAATTTCGGGCAAGGGCTCGGGCCAGGCGGTCAGCAGTGTCTTGACCCGAGACTCTGGAGACTCTGACGACCCACCATTGTGGACCCAACAAAGCGAGGTTATCAAGATTGAGCTCTTCGGTCCAAGAAGCGTAGCGCTTCTTGGGTTTCTTGACGAGCCTCTCCTCCACCTCTTCTCTCCAGTTGTAGGCGGCCTTGCTCTCTCTCCTCTCATTCCTCAGTTGCCTTCTCTCCCTGGCCGTTAGCTGCTTTTCAGTCACGGACTCTACAGTCGCCGAGATCGTGAAAGAAATAATGGGACTTCGGAGCTTATTGAAGGCTTTGGAGTAATGGGTGGACGGGGAAAGAAAGAGGGGGCAAGGACTCCATGTAAGAAGCCTTCGCTGCAGCTCTATCATCCCTACTATCTTGCTATTCAATCTCTTGGCACAGATGGTTTGTGTTTCTGCTATTTTGGTGTTTGTGTGGTTTTGGATGAGGCTAGAACCTGTCCAGATTTGCGAAGCCCTTTTGCCATTTGTTGTGGGCTGTCTAGAAAGGAGGAATCATGTATGTGGACTTGGCCTTTGTATGTTGCTAAAGTGCAGATATTTGGACTGACAAGAATAAGTGTGATGTTCTAATTGTAGAACGGAGCCTTGAGGCCCACAGCTCCGAATTTCCAAAACCCAAAACGAAGGCCCAACGCAGACAACAACTAATTCCATTTTACCGCCTCTTCAGCATCAACAAAAATGTTTTCAAGTAGCACTTCCTTTCCTTTGGGCGAAATTTTCAAATTGTCCCGCGGTTTTCCTCAGCATTAGCACTCACTCCGTACTCCTTACAGCACCATCATCCCTCTCAGATTTCACTTCACCATCATCCCTCTTTCGTACCTCTCTCTCTCTCTCTCTCTCTCTCTTGCTGTCTTATCTCTCTCTCCAAGCCTCCAACTGCGTCTTGGATCCACTACACACGCCGGTGGTGGGTTGGGGTTCCCCTCTCCGATTTTCTTCAAATTAAGCTCGTAAGAGAAGGGTGAAGACGCAAAAATCATGGGGAAGCAAGGCAATCATAATAATAATAACAATAGTAATACGAGTGGCGGTGGTAGTTATAGATCGAGAAAATCAGAAAACATGACGATTGGGAAAGGGAAGGTAACAGCAGTTCAGATCGCATTCATCGTGGACCGCTACCTCTCCGACAACAACTACGCTCAGACCCGCTCAACTTTTCGCTCCGAAGCCTCCAACCTCATCTCCAAATCCTCCGTCCAAGAGGTGATTCTGTTTCCTTTTCTCTTCTTTCTGTCTAAGAAATTAATTTTTACAGGGATGGGTTTATTGTTGTTGGTACTCCCTATTAATTAATTGTCAATGTTTATCATTTAGGCTCCAAAGAGTTTGTTGAGTTTGGGGGCAATGTTGGACGAGTACATCTGTCTGAAAGAGCAGAAAGTGAGCTTGGAGCAAGAACGGTTCCGTATGGAGCTAGAGAAAGTCCGGATTCATAATCTGCTCAAGGGTCTCCAAGATGCTATGAATGCTTTTAACGCCACTCCTCACGACCTTACCCCTGTCCCTCCGCTTCCTCGTCCTCCGCCTACATTCCCCACATCCAGGTTTATACCTCCCAACACTGACCAGCCGCCTTTTGGCTCCCCACCTGGTAACTAACAACCCTCGGCTTTTACCCTACTTTTATGCCTTACTACTAGTTTAAGCCACCATGTAGACTGCAAGAACCATGCTAATAAGTGTTACTAGACAGTATTGCATTTCGAAGTGTTTCATCTATTGATTGCTTGGAACTTAATTTGGATCTCTTTCAAGTACCTTTTCATGATTTCTTATAGAGGGTCAGTGAATCAGTATAATGTTTCTGAAACCAATAAAAGTGTCTTCGCTAGTAACCTCAAATATCATCTGCTTCCTCAGGTGGTTACCATTCTGCACACAAATCCCCAGCAGTGATCTCTACATCCAAGCCCTCCATCACAAGTGAAGACACCCCAAGCATTTCGAGTGATATTAGGAATCACCCTGTTATAAAAAGAAAAGGCTCAAAAGATGTCTCGGATGCTACTGTTACCGCCAAGAGGTCTTGCAGAGGTTCAACCAACAAACAGTTGCTGCCTAAAGGTTTTAGCTTTTTTTTTTTTTTAAGTCGAGCTCCCAAAAGCATTTATTTGTTTGATCCTACAAATAAGTACTGACAAGCTGTGTGTATTGCAGATGCTAAAGGTCATTCACAACCAAGCATGGCAAATAATCATCAAGTAATTTCTCCGAAACACCCTGTGGCTCAATCCCTACCTTGCCCCAATATGTTAAGGGGATCACAGGTTGAAAGGTCTAATGCTGTTGAAAGTTCACATGTCGTCAAGTGTTTGTTTAACCAGGCTGCTCAATCCCCAACAGCTAATTCTTCTGGTCCTAAAACACCTCCCTTGGAATCCTTCCCTCAAGCTGAGAAATCTGCTTCCCCATTGGAAATTTGTTCGATTACAACTTCCTGTAAGGATGTAACTCCTCAACAAATTACCTCCACTAATTGCACGATGATATCGTCGGAAACAATTCGAGTCAGCCCCACCAAGCAAATATCGTACCATTCAATTTCAAGTAACCAACACATTTATACTTCCTCACCTGTTAAGGCAAATTTAAAGAAGCCAATCAAGAGGGATCATGTTAAGGGAAGGCTGGACTTTGATGCTCCTGACAAGCATACTGCTTCAGAGAAACCAGATTGTAATGACATTCCATCATCTGAATGTGTCAACGAAGCGGACATTCTTGATTTGGATTTGCCTAGTTTAGATGCCTTGGAAAATATTAACCTTTCTGAACTATTAGTTGATTTTGATCTTGTTGATGAGGAAACTATTTATTCTACTGAGCCAGCCGGTGATTCCTCTCCTGACTCCACTTCATGGTTAGTTTTGATTTTTTGGCTTTCTAATGACAAAGATCTTCTTTGGTTTATCTTTAAAGAACTTTTCTTCTACCATATCTAGTACCGATTAGCTTCATCTCAGAATCATTAGTCCATCCTTTCAAAATGTCTTAATTGTTTACTTGATGTACATTGGTGCAGGTCACCAGGGAAATCACAAAAAGTTAATGTAGGTGCTAATCAAGTAATTACCCAGCTTTCCTCTACTGTAACAGAAATCCTTGCAGAAAAGGACACAACTTTATCAGGTAATGAAATGTTCAGTATGTAATCATGCTTGTCATCTTCAGTTCATCGTTCTGAACCAGTTTTCATCCCTTTCTTTTTGATTATCAGGTCCGGATTCTGTTACAACTGTTAAATCTGTAACTAAAACCATCAAGATTTTAAGTCCTGGTAACTTCTTTAACTGGGTTGTGGCTTTTGTCTTTTCCCACATTCTTGTCACAAGGCACAGAATGGCTAATAGTTTTCTTGTGATATGGCAGCCAAGGGTCACAGGAGCAGTTTGGATGGGGAAAATATGCGTGCCAAAACCAGACTGGAATAGGATAAGATGGACAATTAATTAGGCTGACTTGGTACCAGTGCAGCACTCACCACAATTGTTCAATATTCAGAATAGATCTAGAATTAACTGTCAGCTTTACATGTTAGACAGCACGTCCTTGATAATCTTCCAACATTTATAGGAAAGCACAAAATTTTTGCCAGTACCGTCTTTGGATGACTTGTTTTGTGGAATTAATCTCTAATCTTCACTTCTTGGGGATATCATCCCTCCATTTTGAATGTCATAACTTGCCAAAGCCTCAAGTTGAACGTTACGTGTGGTAGAACACAAGGAATTTTGGGTTTCTAGGCTTCCAACTCCGAAAACAAGTATTTCTCCAGTTTATCATTTTCATCTGGGCTTCCAATAAAAATTGGAGTTCGCTGATGAATCTGCCAGAAACACCAGAAAAAAAAAGGGAAGAATAGAGCAACTGTTAGTTTTTTCCTACTGTTTACGTCAAAATATAATCATCCCCTCCTACTTTGTTCTTGTCTGGTAGTTCAATAATGGTCTTGAAGAAATTATTCATTTGTTCCTTCATTTCTAGCATGTCAAACCTGACAATCCCTAATCAGATTTGACAAATGGCATTGTTTCAGGAATTTTAGGAAGCCATTGGTCGTTAATTTTTCTTGAATTTGAAAAGGGACTTACCTGCACAGGCATGATGTCAAGTATTCTCTGGGAACCGTCTATTGCTTTCCCTCCAGCTTGTTCAACTAAATAGCTCATTGGTGCACATTCATACAAAAGCCTTATTAAATTTCCATTCTTGCTATTCTTATTCTTAGGGTTACCGTAAATCCCACCATATAACAGCATTCGATGTACTTCCCTGACAAGACAGCCTATGTAACGGCCAGAATATGGTTTGCCGTTAGGACCAGGCTTCCTGAGGTGGCCAAGGTATTTCTTTAGGTTGTCATCCCATAGATCATAATAGTTTCCTTCGTTGGAAGAATAGATCTTGCCGGAATTTGGTATCTTGATATCCTCATGCGTCAAAACAAATTCTCCTTATGCTGGGTCCAGTGTGAATGCAAAAACCCCCTTTCCAACTGATAGTGTGAAGACCACTGAACTTTGAATACAGGCGGTATCCTGCTGCAAGCAAATTGCTCCCTGGCTGGCAGACGCTAACGATGCACTTCTGCTTTGCCTCATCTAGCTGGCCATTGTCAAAATCTTAACTTAGAAAGAAGGCGGCAATTGTGCAATATGAAGAAGATGCATGATTGAACTTAAATCCTGCAGAAGTTACCGTTGAATCATCATCCAAGTCTACGAGGCATTGTTGGTCAGGCCCATAAATTCCGAAGACGGATCCTGTGGTTAAAGAGGTATCAGTGTTGGCAGATCCGTCAATGGGGTCAAACACGACAATGTAGTTTCCGGAATTTGTTTCTTCTACTGCTATAGGCGTATTCTCTTCCTCTGATGCAATAATACCTGTGCGCCCGCTCGATCTTAGGCAATTGCAGAATAACTTCATGTTGAATAAAATGATAACAACAACACGTGGTATCAGATGACTGCACAAGTGTTTTTCTGTACGTCAATAAAAGACCCATGAGGGTAGAATCGTTTTACTCCCCAGGTGGGGTGCGAGCAGAGAATTTTAAGGTCATTTTTTGTCAGAATCTTTGCGGCGAACGAGCTATAAATCTCTGTATGTAGGTCTCATCACCGTGAAATCCATTCATTTTTAGAGTTTCCAGTCCTTACGAAAGAAAACCGGTGGAAGTCCTTCGAATGGAAATGGAACACGCTACAAATCTCTGATTTTTCCTGTATTTACTTTCCTATTTTGATCAAGTTTTCATGTGCAGAGGGATTTTAGGTTAGAATAGCATATGTCAAAATCAACAAGCTGATTCCCGACCATTTCCTAGGCTCCATTTTAGTTGCTTGGTTTGGCTGGTGTTTTAACGTTTTAAATCTATCCATCTTAAATTTCCAAGGGCGTTCCTGTAACCACAAGTAGCAGCAGTCCGTCACAAACTGAGAATGCCACCACATTCAGCCAGTCAATAAACTCAAGCTTGCTTTAGAAATAAGGCGTTAAAAAAAAAAAAACTTAGGAGTTGCTTGATTTAATAAACGTTACTAGTCCTAACTAAATCAAGTACTAATAGACAGAAAAAAAAAAAAAGCTTCGTCCAAGTATAAGAACACAAGAAAATTTCCTAGGCCCTTTCATGGATCTCCTGGACTTGCAGGAAATTGTAATCCTTGAGAGACTGGACAGGAGCATTTACATTTTCAGAGAGCATCTCGATTACATTGTCGTTAAGATAAATACTTTTCTAGTTTCTCTACTTCCTCCACACTTCCAATGTACAGCGGAACTCGCTGGTGTATCTGCAGACAGTGATAAGCAGAATATCATAACGCAGGCAGAACCCAACATATATCCTATGGAAAATCAAATAAGAGAGAAAATAGACAACAAAAAAGAAAAAACCCAACTCAATTTCCTGTCTCTGAAGTCATTACCTCAGTTGGTTCAATATCCAGGATCCTCCGAGATCCATCTGATCCTTTACCGCCTGCCTGTTCCACAATAAAGCTCATTGGGGCACATTCATACAGCAGCCTCAACTTCCCATTCTTGCTCTTCTTGTCTGGTGGGTACCCATAAATGCCGCCATACAAGAGGGTCCTATGGAAATCACCCACCAAACTACCAATATAGCGAGCTGAATAGGGCTTGCCACTCGGACCAGGGTCCTTGAGATCATCAATGTACTTCTTCAACTTACCATCCCACAACTGGTAGTTCCCTTCATTAAATGCATAAATCTTCCCCGCCTTTGGGATCTGAATGTTTTCTTGAGTAAGTAAGAATTCTCCGTACATGGGATCTAAGGTGAAGGCAAAGACACCCTTTCCTAGAGTGAGCACAAATATCACTGAGCTCGAGTACATGCAATAGCCTGCAGCAAGAAGGTTGTCTCCCGGCTGGCATACGTTCACAACACACCTCTGTTTCACTTGGTCTAGCTGCAATGCGTAACGTGTCACGCAAAAGAAATTTTTTCGTTATTCTTTGTTGAGGGGTCAATTTCAGTTGCATTCTATAATCTGACAATGGAAAACAACCAAAATTTCATCTGCTATAATAGAAAGACTATCGTCAACTTCAACGAGTCCAGTTTGATAGAATTCGGTCATAATTTCGTACAATTGGAGTGGTTGGGATCACAGCTGGTAGTATTAGCATACAATAAAAAGAAGGATGAGTGGCATTAGAAGTACCGTGGCATCATCACCAATATCTGCGAGGCACTCATCATTGGGGCTGTATATCCCAAAGATAGAGCCAGTGGAGACAGCAGCATCAATGTTAGATGATCCATCCAGAGGATCAAATACCACAATGTAGTTGCCAGAGTAACTCTCTTCCACTGCCACTGGCACATCCTCCTCCTCCGATGCAATGATCCCTGTCCGTCCACTCGATTTCAAGCAATTAGAGAACACCTGTTTCACGAATATAAAAGCTCCATAATCAGAGCATTCTCTCAGCTAAGAATTTAATGCTGATCTGTTCTAAGATAACACAAATTGATAGTCCGTGGATAACATCTCCATTGCAACACAAGAAAGAAGGGATGCAATCAGTTGATATGCCGAAAAGAAACTAATGCTAGCTAGTAAGCGGTAATAAGCTGTGATCTGATTTAATTTTTGTTTTCCGACTATGATCTATTCTTGTGAATACTATTGCGAATTTCATAAATTGGTCGTTTGACTAAGAAGAGCTACTCCGCTACTGCAGACTAGTGGTATTGTGCACTAGGTGGTGTATAACATCAATTAAATTTTGAGTGGTGTGAGTGAAAATTAAAGACCTCATTGGAGACAACATCAAGTTTCTTCTGATCTTCTCCTTGAACGTTAACAGCACCCTGGACCCCAGTAAGGTTAGAAATGCCAGCCCTCTGAACGAGGACGGCAATCTGCTTGCATGCCATAGAAATGCTGGAAATGACAATGGTAAGTTCAGCGTCTATGACTCCAGCTTGCTCTTGCTTCAAGAGCCAGCCTGTTAAGGTCTGAATCTCATACCCGGCCTTCTTTGTCTTGGCAGCTTCAGAAGCAGTCTCCACAGCCATGCACCGCACTCCTCCTCCGCCTCCATTGACCAGGGCTTGGCTCCTCCTGGTGCTGGTGCAGGAGAGGAACGACGACTTGGGATCTAAAATGCATAATTGAAAGGGAGATAGACGAGAGATGGAATGAGAGCTGGAGATGACGACGTGGGATGCTGCTGTGGCCATGGTGGCGTTTCAGTTTTCCAGACTGCCACCAAGTCACTAACTTCTAAACTTCACTCGCTCGCTCTGTTCCGACGAATTTGATTTTTTTTTTTGTTTTGTTTTTGCCTTGGTTAGTAGATAATTCTTTTTCCTTTTCTTTTCTTTTTTGTGACACAAAAGTGTTTCTGTCTCCGTATTTGCAGAAAACTTTTTTTTTTTTTCCGGAATAGGGATTCTGGCGCTGGGCCGCTGGCCTCAGATTAGATTACGTTGAGTGGAAGTGGGTGCTCTAAAGAATGTAAGGCTGGTAATGGTCTCTGTAGCAGGGGTCCCACTTATCCTACCATTTTTGGTGTAATCCATTAATCTACTGTATATACCGACTCAGCTTCCTCTTCTGTATAACCGACTCAGTATATTGAGTTGATCAGCATCAGCAGGAGAGATTTAAAACACTCATTGAGTACAATGTTTTTAAATTCATCAAAAACCTTTCGGTTCATAGTTGGATCGATTCAACCGGTTGGATCCCACTTCAAAGATTTAATAATTTTTTTATTTAGTTTAATATTAAGAATTTTGAATAAAACTAAAATATTTATTTTAGAAAATAAATACATAATAAAAACTAGTTAAACCTTTCGATTTTTACCGACTCTTGATCGGTTCAATTAAATCTTTGGTTTTTCAATTGAATCGAACCAAAGACATGATCGATTAGCAGTTCAACTGGTCAAACCGATCGATCCAATCCAATTTTCAAAAGATTGATTAAGT